TCTATCTCTAAAAATTGCTCCTAAATCCTGCAGTCTGGGCCCATGCTGAGGTCCCAGCTGAGCGCTAGTGGCTTGTCTTCCTTCTCAACGCCTCCTGTTACCTCCAGGATCCCCTCCCCTCTCCAAAACAGAAGTCAGTGCTCTCATCCGGCCAGGATCATTCATCCTTCTCCCACACCCAGCCCCCTCCTGCTCTGCTTTCAGCTCCTCCATGTCCGAATGCTGTGCAACTCAGAAGGGGAGAGGGGGGCATGGCAGAAGACAATGCAAAATGGAGGGGGGGAGAGATGGGATGGCCGGAAGGGAACTGGGGGGGGGACCCACACTGCAGGCGAGGCAGGCAGGAGAAGACAGAAAAATCAAAGGCGACTTAGGTTCACATCTCTGTTACATTCAGCCAATTTGTAGGCCCCCTGGAAACCAGGGGCCGCTAAAGAGATGGGTCAAATCCAGAGGAGCAAGGAGGGAAAGGAAGAGAAAAAAGAGACAGACAGATGTACACGTGAGGCCTTTATGTGGATTTGAATCTGGATTTGTCCACCTTGCATAGGCTAGTCCAAGTCTCCTTCCCCCACAACCCTTTGCAAAGTTCAGCCTTTCACAGGATGCTTTAAGCATCCTTAAATGCATTAAATGTTTCCTCCAGGTGTTCCACCTTGAAAAGGTTTTGCAGGTCATGGGTGGAAACTCCCATCTTTAATTGGGTTATAAAGCTTCCCCCTTCTTCTGCTCTGGCCCTGAGGACATGTTCAAGGAAGGCCTCCAGTAATGTAAATCAAGATGATCATGTTCCATATTTGACCTCTAGCCATAATTATCTCTGGCAGCATTTTGGGTAATAAACAAAAGAAAGACCAACAAGGCATTTTGGAAAAGGATCTGTTTGACATGCATTTTCTTGTAATTGCATACTCCCTGTCCCCAAATATCAAAATGCAGGTGTTCTACATTGCAGCCATTTTTAACCAGCAAGAAAAAAAAAAAAAAACCCAGATTGCAAGCATTATTTTCAAGCATTGATACTATACAAAGAATTAAAATCCTGATATTCCTTCCTCAGAAGTGCACATAACATGAGAAGCAATAAAAGATACCTATCCATTTACTGCATTTTGCAGAGCCTCTAGCTTATGTCCCCATAGTTTATCTTGCACAAGCCAAATTTTATTATTTACATATTGATTAGATTTGAATCTTTCCTTTTTCACAAATGTACCTTTAGGACAGCCTATAATATATTGCTATAACATTTATTGTTTTGTTGACGTAAGCAGAAAAGCCACTCAACACAGCAATCTTTCATTATTGGGCATAGATTCTACTTCCTATAGTCCCGCACTGACAAACAACGCAGACAATTCTTTCAAAACGGGAAAAATCAGGGCATCCGTGGGGTAAAAACCATGGGATAACTGCCCCCCGTCTCTGACTCCATATCAGTA